GAGTAAGCATGTTTCTGAATTCTGTACTTTATTGGCCAATTCAACCACTCAAATTTGAACAATTTCATTGTCTGAGCTTTTTGAAAATGATTTTCTGCTTAAAATGATGAGGTTATTGATAAGAATGGAGTGTAAATGAAAGCTGGCCTGCACTGCTCTGGTTCTTTCTGGCTGTGTTCTATCACACTATCGGCACGACACTTTTTTCTAGTCACTTACTAATGCTAGAGGGACTTTCTTTTGCAGCTGGTGGAGGTAGAGTGGGAATAAGTTTTAAGAAGTCAGCGGCCGGGCGCGGTGGCTCAAGCCTGTAATCCCAGCACTTTGGGAGGCCGAGGCGGGTGGATCACGAGGTCAGGAGATCGAGACTATCCTGGCTAACATGGTGAAACCCCGTCTCTACTAAAAATACAAAAAAAAAAAAAAACTAGCCGGGCGTGGTGGCGGGCACCTGTAGTCCCAGCTACTTGGGAGGCTGAGGCGGGAGAATGGCGTGAACCCGGGAAGCGGAGCTTGCAGTGAGCCGAGATCACACCACTGCACTCCAGCCTGGGAGACACAGCAAGACTCCGTCTCAAAAAAAAAAAAAAAAAAAAAGAAGTCAGCTCAGGCATCTTATCACTCATCTGGGAATGGGGAAAAACACCTTTCACCTCATGCATCTACATTGCGTTCAGCTTAGAAATAAATTACATCGAAGACCGTTCAGTGAGAACTAAGCCTCCAAAGCCAGAAGACCAAAGCCAGCGGTGTTACCTAGAAGCACGGAGAAAGGCTGAAGCAATAATGGGAAAAGTCTTCTGTCTTTTGAAAGGGACATTAGGGGCATGGACAGGAACCTGCTACACACACACACACACCATACAACACACACACCACACACACACAACACACACGCTGACGGGAGCCGGAAAGTCTGTGCTAAACTGCTACACACACACACCACACACTCACACACATTGCACACTTACACCTATACACACCCACTTGGTGCACACACACTACACCCACAGACAGGAACCTATATGTCTCTGCTAAGCTGCTACACACATACATCACACACACATATACACACCCACACCACACACACACCCTACACTCCCACACTGAGAGGAAGCTGTAGGTCTGTGCTAAACTTCTACACACACCACACCACACTCACACACATATACATACCCACACACCACACGAATACACCCATACAGACACCACACCTCGACTCCACACGCACACATACAGTGACAGGAACCTGTAGGTCTACTCTAAACTGTTACACATCCCACACTCTCAGACATGACACACACACATATATATACCCACATACTCCCCACACACCCTACACCACTCATACACACACCACACACACATATATACACCCACATACCGCCCCACACACACCACCTACACACCACACACATATATACACCACATACCCCACACACACCACTCATATACACACCACACACATACACCACATACCCACCACACACACATAAACACCCACATACCGCCCACACACCCTACACCACTCATATACACACCACACACACATATATACACCCACATACCCCCCACACACCCTACACCACTCATACATACCCCCCACACACCCTACACCACTCATACACACACCACACACACATATATACACCCACATACCGCCCACACACCCTACACCACACTCACACACACACCACACACACCCTGACATTCATACATACACTTGCACACCACACATTCACATATCACACACACATACACACCCACACACCACACACACACATATGCTACCCCACACTCATATACATGTCACACACATACAGTGGCAGGAACCTGTAGGTCTATGCTAAACTGCTACATACTCTCATGCACACACATCACACACTCACATCCCATATACACACCCATACACCACACACACACACACACACACACACACACACACTCTGGCAGGAACCTGTAGGTCTGTGCTAAATTACTACACATACACACCAGTTTAGTTTATATAAGGGAAAAATCAGCAAAGAAAAATAACTTCAAGTCTCTCTATACTGAACTATTTCTCATCTGATCCTCTGTACGTGGGTTTTAAAGTTCTGTCACCACCTGAGCTTGAGGGCACACAGTCTCCTGGTAATGACAGCCTGTGCTGTCCACCTGTTTGTGACTTCTCTCCGTTGACCTTCACATTTGACCAATCTTAGTGATTTAAAATGCTTTTGTAGCCCATTCGGTGCTATAGGATTACAGATGATGGAAACGGAACTTACATTTTATTATTTTTAATGGAAAAGCTACTAAGAAGCTAATCAGAACAATCCAAGGAGAACACCTTTCCAGGTAGACTCCTTGTGCTGTGACTAACAGGATGGTTAAAAGGACTGAAAAGGAAGACAGTTCTAAATGTTCCTGTAGAGCAGAAATTTGGACGTTTGGTTCTGTATTAATTTTTACACTGGCTCCACACCTTCGGTCCTGTTTTCTTACTCCTTCCCTCCAATTTTAAAAATCTTTGATCTTTTTTTCTAAAAAGAGCTCCCAATCCACTTCAGACAGTTTCATTGCTTGTTTCAGTTAGCCTTTCTGTATTCTGTAGGGCTAGGCTGTTTGTATCTGCAGCTAATTCCACTAATACAACTTAAAGAAACGAAGGGATGAGACAGTGGTGAGAATCTCTAGTGTTGGCAGCAAACAGGAAGAAGCATCGTTTAAAAGCCAGAATTCCTCAAAAAGGGATGCTGTGGGTAAAAACAAAACAACAGGTATAACAAACTATCTTTTATCAGAGTGGTGCTGAATTCATCACCATGAATTAACCATATTTCACTCCAAGGGCAATGAGCAAGATCTTATTTCCCAGACATAAAAAAAAAAAATTAATTAACAACCCAAACACGCAAACAGTCCTGCTTCCTCCACCCAACCTTCCTTTGCTTTTTCAACTACTTAGAATCTTGAGCTCCTCTGAATTTCTACATGGTTAGTATTCCAAACCACACACTCTAGCACTTTTATTGTTATATTTTGTGTGATATTTTTTCCGTTTCTTACAGGTTAGTTTTTTCCTTCAAGCAGAGTGTAGATCACTGCTTCTATGTCTTATTTCTGGCAAAATCTAACGTGGTGCGGGGTGCTAGGTAATACCCTCTCCAGGTCACTTACCAATCTATGGAAAAGTGCCAGTGTTCCCTGACAACCAAGAAACAACATTTGATTGGGCACAAGGAATACTGAAGAGTGGGCAGGAGCTTTAGCTAATTTTCTACAGGAGAATCTTTTGCCCTAAATACAGATGATAGAGGGATTTGTAATCCACCATCTGTATCTAGTCTAACTTGTAAATAGGATCAAGCCCTCAGTTGCTACACCCATCATTCACAATGCACTGACATGCATTGTGACATGTAAATCCTGGTGACTGAAATATTTATATGCATATGCTTAGTTAACCTACGGATATAGTATATGCTGAATTTTTTTCTGACCCTTCTTGGGGCCTCAATTTTCTGCCACTTCTGGTAGAGAGCTTAGTTTTTACTTCATTGCCTTCGTAGACTTCTTTCTTTCTTGATCTCAGCATTACTTCTGCTGTTTGTCAAATGCTAACATTCGTATTTGTTTCATTCACTCTCCAGATTTGGAAATTAGTATGAAATTCATAAAACTTGAATGATAATGTTCTAACAGCAGTGGTGGAATTTCTCTTGCTTGATTGCCCTCAAATTACAACAAGCTTGTTGACCATGTAGGCTCTAAAATTTGGATTTTTTTTCCCTTTGGAAGCCACACCCAGTAACAACTTTTTCCCCTATGGGAAAAGTCTTAGGAGAGCATACTGTCCCCAGCCTTTGAGGCAAACCTTAGGATGGGCAGGTTGTCAGTTCCTGAGGGCACTCTCTGGCCACTTTGGGGAGTCGCCTGTGGGGAGAAAGTCACCATTCCCGGAAAGGCAAAGGAATTACTCAGGTCGCTTTAATTTCTCTTCGAGAAGATCCCACAGGAAGCATTAGCTATAAGCAAAATCTTTATGAAAGGATTCCTTCTCTGAATTTTCCAAACAGGCCTCTTTGTTATTACCCCAAGAGAGCTTTGTTATTACCCCAACGAGTCAGGCACTCAAATCTCCCTTATCATTTCCAGACTGTTTTACCTTGCTGTGAACATCCCGTTGGTGGGAGGGCCACAAACGGTCTCTCAAGCTTCTCTCAAACCACCAATCTGGCGTTTCTGAAACGCCCCAGCCCTTTTCTGGCCTTGTGTACTTGACTCCTACACCACGGGGAAGCTCCCCCTTGGATTCCAAAAGAAAACTAAACTCCTTGGAATCCAAAACTAAGAAACTTTCACAGAGTGGCCCCAGGTGGATTGGTTATCATGATATTTCAGTCTCACCTAACCAATAAGAGAGCTGGCTGGCACGTTCCCAGGAAGAATATTCTCATATGAGCAGTGGATGAGAGGAAGCCAAAAGATTTTCGGCCCTCTCCATGCTCACCTTACACTCTACCTGGGTTCTGAGGTAGAGATCTTGTGACGGTTGGGGCCCTGCAAAGCAATTAAAAGAAATAAAGCAAAGTATTATATTTTAATTGATGTAATCTTCAAGCTCCCAGTGGAATCTGGGGTGATATCTGACTAGAGTTACCCTAGGTATCAATAGATGACTATTCTGTGAAAGTGCATTTAGGAAGACAAAACCCTAGGAATCCTGAACTTCATTAACATATGTATCCGTTTTTGGGGATGGGGGGCGGATTGGCTCTGGCTCCTAGGACTAAAAATTGAAAGAAGCCACCTAGACTTTTCTGGGATCTGAACAAAGAGCCAAAGCGGGTGGGGGAGTAGAGAGGGAGGTGGAGAGAGGGAGAGAGAGAGGGCAGGTGGAGGGGAAGACAGAGAGTGGGTTTATGATTTTATTTGCTTTTCAAGTCTAGTACCTGGATATTAGACACACTAAACCATACTTTCTAAACCCAAACAGCTTTCATCCATCACTAACATTTCAGGGTTTGTTTCTGTTTTATTGTAAATATTCCAGTTGAAGAAAGATAAACAGACAAGAAAAAACTGCTTTATACAGTATACAGAGTCAGATAGAAAATACAGACTGGAAAAGAAAGCCAACCACCAACAGATAAAAAGTGGAGACAAACCAAGGAAGGGTACTAGCTGGTTGCAAATTCACCCACCAGCTCGAGCGAGGTGCGGCCCTTGCCTCAGCAGCTAACAGAAACCATCTAGCGCTGGCAGTCTTATCTTGATTCCACACGGAGAAAGAAACAGACTACAAATGATGCATAGGGACATTTATTTCACTAATCCATTAAAAAAAGTTTGCTATTGATCAAGATAGCCTGCTCATAAAAATGAGTTTTTTTAAAAAACCACCCTTCCCGCCCCAAATGTGATCTGACAGTAGGAACCACGTTGTCAGAAGCATGAGATGGAGCTGCAGGTTGGAGCACAGTGGCACCATTGGGGTCTGTGGTCAGCCGGCCTTCAGGTGCCCTTCCCACCAAATCCATGTTTCTCCACGAGGATCAAGGCAAGGTTTAAAAAAAAAGACCCACGTGTCTTGCACAGCTTGTTGTCATTTGATGGTTAAAGAGAAAAAAGATAAAGGATTCAAATTCATGAGTGAGGTCAGGTGAGGACAAAATGAGTATCCCTCACAGGAATAATCAGGGTACCGTTCGGCCCCCAGGACGGCAGCCCTAACTAACTGTCCTGGCATAAAGAGGATGCCGACCAACCCAAATGGCAAAAACATGAATTAAGCTCGTCATCTTCCAAAGATGTCTTTATTTTAGTACATTTGCAACAGCAACAAAAGTGAGGACAATTCCATTCAAGGTGGTGGCAGCGGTGGTGGAGGTGGAGGTGGTGGTAGTGGCTGTTTGTTTCTCTCTCTCTGAATTTGCTAAGTTTACAACCGGAAATTGCATAGAATTTGTTTTCCATCAGCAAATGAGAACTCTCTGCGTGAAACTCCTAATTGGTGAAGTCAAGCAAAGGTCAAGCAGCTGCAGAAAGCCTCGCCCCTCCCATCACACGTGTGCTCTGGACTCTGCAAACTTCTCACATGGAGAGCAGTCACTAGCAGTCACCTGGTAACCTGGACAGCATCAGTAACTCCTATTTGGTGGATGGAACAGAAGTTCAATGCTTTACCTAAAGTCATACAAGGTGGGGGGCTACTGCTCAAGCTGAGGTTAGGACTCAGGAGTTCCTGGTTCCCAGGACTGTGTATTGACTAGGAGACTCCACCTCTCTCCCAGGAACCTAGCAAATTCTTGATTACTTAAGGTCTTTCTATGGAATAAATACACACACGCACACGCGCGCACACATACACACACATACACTTGCACCCAGGTCTCACATCTAAGTAGCAAGAAACTACCCAATCCATGATTGATAGTCTTGGGGGTCTGGCTTCATAGGCAGCCACTGAGTTTGGTTGAAAAGAGATGCAGTTGACAAAGTATGCACCATACCAACGGCGTGGCCTAGTCCTTCCTCCTCTGTGAACAGCATGTTCCACGGGAAGCCAAGGCCATGGTATGGGAAAATTCTATCCACTCTTTCCGCTCCTTAAACGAAGTCCTAGGACACTTTGTGCATTCTGTTCTCCTCCCCTGTCTGTCTTCAGAGACTACATTCACAAAAAGATCAAATCAAACACAGTAACAGTGAAAGTCAGAAGGAGAAAGGGAAAGAAAAGACAGATTAACCCTTGACATCCCAGGCGTTTCAAGGTCTCTCTGAGTATCCGATGAGTTAATTGCTTTTTGGCATCTACAACTTTACTTCAATGCTTTTGAGACTCTCCATCTGACTCTTCCCGAGACCCCTTCTCTTGTGCTCCTGCAGGCCCCCAATCACCATACAGAAAGGAGAGTTAAGCACCTGAAATCGGATGCACTGGTAACGCAATATCCCAAAATTCAGGAAGAAGAAGAAATGGGGATTATTTAGGCTTCCATTCCCTAACCCAGCCTCCCCCTCCAAAAAACACAAAACAAATTAACAGAACTGAGAAGATGACAAAGAAGAAACGGAGAGGAGGAAAGGGAAAAGAACATTAACAAAAATATACAAATCCAGAAATGAAAAACTTCCCTGTTTAGTTTAATTTTTTTTTTTCGGTAAGAACTAGACAGAGGGTACATTGGCCTCTGACTAGGGGGAATTCAGCTGATGATTCCACCAATTCATTGGACTGGTCTGGGTAGGGACCCCCCACCCTATACTCTGTTATTTTGGCGAGAGGGAAAGGCCCGCTGGGAGAAGATGTGTCTTTGTGCCCAGGAGGGAGGGCCGTCCTTTGCCACTTGGGTGCAACGTCTCCGGGTGGACCCCGCTGCCTGACCGGGCGCGGTCTCTGGCTGGGGCGTCAGGCTCCTTGATCTTTTGGAAAAGTGACTGGCTCCGAAATCCGGAGAGGTGTCGACGCTGTACAAGTCCCGGCTCGCGGCTGACAGCAGTGCCCGCCCCGCCCCGCCTCCGCGCGTCCTGTGGCCGCCGGGACTACTCGGGCTCGCTGCTGTTGGTGGTCTTCTCCCACTCCAGGCTCTCCTCGCTGCGGGCGGGCGACGGCCGTGCCCGCAGGCCCTGGAAGCGGCGGCACTCGGGGCAGACGCGGATGTGCGTGCAGCCGCGGGCCACCAGGGCGGCCTCCTGCGCCAGTCTCTGCGCGAGCTGGTCGGGCTCCCCTGCCCCGCACAGCTTCCCGTTGCTGAGCGTCGCCGTGCCCCGGGGCCTGCGCTCCTCGGGTATGGGGGGCCGGGGCGGCGGGACTCCGGCGCGCCGCCGGCGGGGGTGGATACTGTCCTGACACAGGATGATACTGCGCAGCTCGGTCACCATCTCCTGGCAGACGGACACCTGGAGGAGATAGCGAGGTCAGGGCCCAGCCCCTCAACCAGCCACCGCGGGCCCCTTGCTAGTTCGCTGGGATGGGGGATGAGGGGGACAGCGGTCACAGAATCGTGTCATGTTAGGTATGAAGATAATAAAGGCTTTTCAGTCCATCTCCTCACTCCACTCCCATTTAATGTCCAAACACCCTCCATACCATAATATTCAAGAGCCCCACCAGCTGGTCTCCAATCTTTGATGAACACCTTCAAAGACAATGATCTCCCTTTTTTTTTTTTTTTTTGCACATTTCCATTAAATGCTGCTTCCTTTTACCCAGCTAACAATTTCTGTCCCTGAAATTTTCATTCATTGATCCCAGCTAAATTTGGACCTTGAAGTCTACCAAATAAATAATTCCTCCACCACATGTCAGTCTCTCAAGTATCTGAAAAGGCTACCATGTCTCTATGAACATTCTGTTCCTTAGGCTGAAGATTCCTGTTTCTTTTAGCCAACCGGTTATAGCTGGAGATGGATGTATCCTCATGATAACAAAAACAAGAGGAGGGTAATACAATGCACAAACAGTATAGTATGTATCACACCCAGTGGGTCTGGGGCAGACTTGAATGCAAACCCACTAATATTCCTGTAGCAATATGTACGTACACTCACACCGTGTGTGATAAAGGCCACAAACATCAGTCAAGCGAAGTCACCACTAAGTGCATTTGCATCAAACTTACAAGGAACTTGGAACTCTCCCAGCTTTTTAGGTTTCAGAACTGTGGATGAAGAATACAGGAGAGGGCTGGGCACCTGTAATCCCAGCACTTTGGAAGGCCAAGGTAGGCGAATCACTTGAGGTCAGGAGTTCAAGACCAGCCTGACCAACATGGTGAAACCCTGTCTCTACTAAAACCACAAAAATTAGCTGGGTGTGGTGGTGTGTGCCTGTAATCCCATCTACTCGGGAGGCTGAGTGGGGAAAATCACATAAAGCCGGGAGGCGGAGGTTGCAGTGAGCTGAGATACTGCCACTGCACTCCACTCCAGCCTGGGCAACAGTGAGACTCTATCTCAAAAAAAAAAAAAAAAAGAGAATATAGATGGGCCTGTATTTTTTGTTTGTTTGTTTGTTTGTTTAGACAGAGTCTTGCTCTGTTGCCTAGGCTGGAGTGCAGTGGCGCGATCTCAGCTCACTGCAACCTCCGCCTCCTGGGTTCAAGTGATTCTCCTGCCGCAGCCTCTCCAGTAGCTGGGATTACAGGCACGCGCCACCACACCCAGCTAAATTTTGTATTTCTTAGTAAAGACTGGGTTTCACTATGTTGGCCAGGCTGGTCTTGAACTGCTGACCTCATGACTCACCCGCCTCGGCCTCCCAAAGTGCTGGGATTACAGGCGTGAGCCACTGTGCCCGGCCGATGGGCCTGTATTACTACGATTACTATTATTATTATATCCATTTCACAAATGTAGAAATGGAGGCTCAGAGAAGTTATGCATATTGCCAAAAATTGACTAATAGCTGACTCTGAATTTGGACCAATACCTATCAACTCCAAGCCCGCACATGCTCTGCTGAGTGCCCTACTCTGAGTTGAAAGGACACTTTCCTAGACCATATGGGAGCAGAAGTCCTCAGTTCTTTCACGTTCTTTCTTCCAATTCTATAAATGGGACAGTTGTTCTACCATAACCAAATCGGTAACACAGCACTGACTCTTTATTTTAGCTATTTGGAGTGCTCTAACTACTTGCTGAGTTTGTCAATGTACTTCCAGACCATGGGTGAGCTTTGGGGGAGAATAACAAAATGTGAAGCGGTTATAGAGAGGTGATGTCACTTAATGGAATATGGCCTACATTAGTTTTCCCGACTTGGATTATAGGACCCCATCAATTGTTAACTAAATAGCAGAGACTCTTGGCAAGTCACCTAACCTGTCTTCTTCTAATAATAACTACAATAAAAATAGTACCACCTGCCTAATCTATTACATGTGACAATAATATAATAATGTAGATTTATTGACTGTCTACTGTGTGTCAAGCATAGGGATAAAAGACACAGTGTTTACTGCAGGCAGCTCAACCTCTAGTTGGGGGCTGATACCAAAATAATTGCAATGTGGTGTGTAAGTGGTTCATGCCTAGGTTACAGCGGTGTCAAGAAGAAGGAGGATGACCAATTGCTGAGACACAGCAGGAGAAATGAGGAAGGATTCAAGAGGAAGGGAACACTTAAACTAGGTCTTAGGGAATAAGTAAGACCGCCACCTTTTAAGGGGTGGGCAAAAGGAGAAAGCCAGTAAAGCTGGAGACAGCAACACGAGGGGAACCAAGAATCTGGGTGCCATGCAAGGCAAGGGAAAAGGGATTCTGGAAAAAAGTATCCCCATCATCAAGAGACACACCGAAGTCCAATAAGGCCCAATAGATTCTCTTTGGTTTGGTCCACTGAGAGGGGTCAGACCTTTAAGCACTGGCCTTTCAGTGCAGGGGTAGGGAGAAGACAGGCTGCCCTGGGTTTCGGACCAAAATGGGGGTGAGGAGATAGAGACTGAGATTCTCTCAGCTGGATCCCCTTGGTTTGGAAGAGGAGAGGGATAGAGCAAACAATAGTAATCTTCCTATTATGTTGAAAGACGGCAGACGCGTTCATAATTGTGGATTGGAGAAAGAACAGGCAGAAAAAAAATACAGGGGAGAAAGAGGATAATCCTGGAGTAGCTGAGGAAAGACAGGATCAAGGAAGAGACAGCAGAAGGACTGGGCTATCTGCTGCAGCTGCAGGGTGGCTGAGCTGTGGGGAGATGCTTAGTGGGGGTTTTAATTCAGGGCTGGCCACTCCTGATTTCTTGGGAGATGGGAAGTAAAATGAAGCTCTATGCATGCAGAAGCAGAGAAGCTTGAGGAGTGGGCAACAGCATGGAAGTCCTACAAGGAGACAGCAAAGGGGCTGAGCACAGAGGACCAGGACTGGCAGGCAGTGTTGTGTTAAGGCCCCATGTGAGGCCAGACTCCATAGACTTCCAGCGGCACTGTTTGTCCTGCTGTGAGATATTTCCCCAGTGCCAATTAGGAAAGGTTTTAGGAAGATTCAGAGTTGGGAGACTGAGATAGAGGCTAATGTAACTTTAAAAAAAAAATCTAATAATGCAATTAACATGTAAGGATTTATATATCTTCCCTGGGGTGGGCTGGAAGAAGAGCAGGATAACATCTTCTTCCCTCTTCTCCAACTGTTGAAGCTGGGTAAAGTTTATGTTCACCCTGTCCCTCAGCCACAGCTGGGGAACTGAACTTATTCAAAATCCCCGAGAAGGGAGATAAAATTCTTGGATAAAATTCTTGAGTCGGGATATCTCTAAGGATCTTTCCCTGCAAGGCAAAAACATACTCGAAATGGAAGGACTGAGGTTGTCTTTTCCGTAGTAACCTGGTACTTTCACCTATTTTTCTCAACTACATCTTAAAGGATAGTTCTAGACGGCTTTGTTGTTCATAAAAGCTTTTTCGCATGCGTATTGGCTGGGCTGTTTCAAAGAAAACTGAAGCCCGGCGAGGTTAAGTGCCCCTTCTGTAGCTGCATAATTACTAAGTACTGAAGCATTGAGCCAAATCCCCTCTGCTGGGCACTGGGATTCTCTTCGCTGCACTTCCTGTGGGAAGCGTCAGAAATGACTTTATATGTGCATGAGTCGATGAACTTCACCCCATCTGCCAACACTATGGATCACACCCCTTTGAAAGTTTACCTCAGTTGCTTCTGAGTGTCTGAGAGTCCATAAAAACTCCAACATAGCCATGAAAATGGCCACGATTAAGCCACAAATAAGAACCACAAAGATTCCACCAATATTCTCCATTCCCAGGCCTGTAAGAAAGTGATAACAAATAAAAAATATTGTAAAAGATCAGAAAGACACAATCATTGTATCAAAAATGCTAAAATCATTTAAACAAGAACTTGAGTATTGTAGATGCTCAAGTAGACACCCATGAGTCTACCTGACATAGAGACACCCAGTCCTTGAAGATATTTAATTATCTATCTGGAAAAAAATGCAGCATAGTTGAAATAAAATGGAAGAGAGAGATCTTGCCGTCAATCAAGGACACTGGCAAGAAGCCTACCAAAGGGTGTCTGGGGCTGGGAGGTGGGGACCTTTTAAGAAAAGGGCTCAGGCAAACTCTGACAGTTTATAGAGAGAGACATGACGCCAAAATACCTGTCAGTTCTAACAGTTTCATAAAAGTTTTACTCAGTCTTCCTAATATTGTATTTATGTGATATAAAAGCAACTGTTTTGACCAAACCATGGATAGAAAAAATTCTATTTACCTATCTTTGTCAACATGTTACTAAAATACTTATTTGTAAAACTTTTTTTTTTTTTCTTTTTTTTTTTTTGGTGAGACGGAGATTTACTCTTGTTGCCCAGCCTGGAGTGCAATGGTACAATCTTGGTTCACCACATCCTCCGCCTCCCAGGTTCAAGCGATTCTCCTGCCTCAGCCTCCCGAGTAGCTGGGATTACAGGCATGTGCCACCAGGACTGACTAATTTTGTATTTTTAGTAGAGACGAGGTTTCACCGTGTTGCCCAGGCTGATCTCAAACTCCTGACCTCAGGTGATTCGCCTGCCTTAGCCCCCTAAAGTGCTGGGATTACAGGAGTGAGCCACTGCGCCCGGCCTGGAAAGTAAACTTTTTATCCCACCAAACGAGTGCTTCACAAACCAGTTGCCATCAGAACTGCCTAGAAAGCTTGCTGAAAATATTGATTCCCAGTCCTTACCCCAGACCTACTCAATCAGTATCTCTGGACATGGGGCCCAGGAATCTGTATTTTCACAGAAGTTTCACAGGTGATTCTTTTCTAGCCATTCCTAAAAATAGTTTACAAATTGGCAATTTTAGAAGCATTGCGCAAGTTTGTAAGTTCCTGGGAGTCAGACATCGTTTCTGGTCATGTCCTCATTGCAAAGCACGATACCTGGCACACAGTATATAGTCAATACATACTTACAGGATATGATGTGGCTGTTTCATTTCCACTGTGTCAAACACTGAGTTCAGCTATGGAATTAAATGCTTTTTTTGGCATTAGAGAAACTCAAACACAAAACACCCTGATTCAACTGGGGCCACAATCAGAAATCAGAAGGCATCTTTCATCCAGGAGGGTCTGTTGTGTCCCGTGTTCTTCAGGAATGCTCGCACATCTGAGTGTGCAGTCGGTAGTGTCCTCACAGAACACGGAGCCTCGTCAGTGTCAGGGGCAGTAAACTTTGCATGGTACTATGAAAGGAGTCACAGGGCCAGAGCAGAAATCGACGCTACCTTTTGCACCTTGGAAAACTGGAAAAATAGCCCTATCTGGCCATTTCAGGACGCCCAGGGTTTCCTTTCACAAAGTCCTAAGTGGATGCCTGATTTTTGTTTTTAAAATAACAGTGCAGTAGCCATCCCTGCCTACAACTGAAAATCTGCTTAGAATGACGCTGAGGACTCACATGATGAACGCACCAAATGAACTATACACTCTGATCTGCAGGTCCACAGTCAACTCTTGAGTACCTGTGTGAATGCGGGAATTCTCTATTTTGAATAATAAAAAATAGGGGATCATTTAAAAACTCAATTCTACCTTCCAGGAGGAAGGTGCTTAAATGGGCAAAAAGGCCTTAAAACACCTATATTTGGAGGCCCCATCTCACATAAAAGCAAGTAGAAGAAAATGCACCCACATCTTGTGTTAACACCTGTCCCCCTAATCTGGGCCATTTGGGTAGAAGGTTTTCACTCTGGGAGCATCAAGAGCCACAAGAAGGAGGGGATGAAAAAGGGACACTTAAGAGGGAATGTACCAAGGAGCTGGCTAGGGTTTGTAGGCAGATACTTCAGCCCACAGATTTAGGGGTGGTGAGAACTGGAGTATTAGGATGTGTATCTGTGCGACACGGATGAATTACCTTCTCTGGCCAGCCCCTGTGGAGGGAGGCTGGGTGGACATCCCTCGTGAATGGGGAAATGACAATGGTGACATGAAGGACGGCCATCTGCTCAGGTAACTGGAGTCCCCAAGTGACTGCTGAGATTCTACAAGATACCCCCATCACTTGGCAATAGTTGTGATTGAGATAGAAAACAGGACAAGGGGGTGGGTGCAGTGGCTCACGCCTGTAATCCTAGCACTTTGGGAGGCCAAGGCAGGAGGATCCCTTGAGGTCAGGAGTTCGAGACCAGCCTGGCCAACATGGTGAAACCCCGTCTCCACTAAAAATGCAAAAATTAGCCAGGCATGTAATCCCAGCTACTTGGAAGGCTGAGATAGGAGAATCACTTGAACCCAGGAGGCGGAGGCTGCCACTTGATCCGAGATCGTGCCCTGGCACTCCAGCCTGGGCAACAGAGTGAGACTCCATCTCAAAAACAAAAACAAAAAACAAAAGAAAATAGGATAAGGGCCCCTTTGCAGAGGGTCTCACATTCCTCTTGTTTCTGTAGAGGTGGTTTTCTTTCCCCTTTAGGTCTTCTTCTGCTACCTGTGTTCCAGCTGTGCCCCCTGCCTCCCTATCAGTCACCTCCCTGGTCCTCCTCCAATCTTCTCTCCACTGGCTCTCTCCCTCAGTACATTCACATACTCATGTCTCTCCCTCCTTAAAGACAAAGAAATCCTCCTTACTGTCTCCAGCTCTGTCTAATCCAACACTTCTCTCTCCTTCCATGGCCAAGGATTTTGAGAGTTGTCTACATCAGAACTATTTTAAGACCTTCTAAAAGCCCTTAAAATCACTTACATTTGGAGGACCCATCTCACATAAAAGCAAGTAGAACAAAATGCACCCACATCTTACGTTAAATGCATTAAAAAATTTTTGCTTCTGATATTACTGAGTGGCAAGATACAGTTAACTTAAAATTGGCTGTGATTTCTCAGCAATCATTGCACATACATACAAAAGAATGTTGCAAAATTAAAAATATAACCAATAAATTATTTCTACATGTAATGAAGTTTTTATGAACATTAAATTTAAAGATTAATGAAGTTGAAACAATGTTACATTTTGGAGATATTTAATTAAACATGTCTTAATTTAATTTTGCAGTTTCCTTTTTGCATTCTGAAACCAGTAATTTTTTTCAGACCTCAAACATAATTTGGACACTCAAAAAGCTTTTAAGCTCCAAGTAACTCTGTCTATGATATCTAAAGGAGAAAATAATTCTGTTTTGAATACTCTTTTGTTCTTGCTATTCAATCTTCATCCCATGCAATTTTGTCTTGCACCACTAAAACCACCCTTGCTATGGTCACCAATGAACATTTTGTTTCTAGCCTAATGGAAATTTTCTAGTCCTAATCTTGCATGACCTTTGTTAGCATTTGAATCGTCAGTCACGTGTCAGTCTTGGCATTTTATAAAGCCATTTCTTATCACTCTCTTCCGATCTCCTCAATCTCCTTTGATTGGCCTGGGGCACATTTTCTTCTCATTTTCCTACCTTTGGTCTCCTATCCCTCCTCCATGTCTTGGCTATTACCAAATCCTGCTGATTTTGCCTCCTGAATATTTTTAAATTTCTTACCCTTCTCTCTATTCCTCCTGCCACTTCCCTAGTTTAGGCACCCACCATCTCTTGCTTGGACTATTGCAGTAGCCTTTAAAACTATTTCCCTCCCTGTAGCCATTTCCTCCTCAACTCTGCATACTACACAGTTGCCTCACTGATCTTTCTGAAATGCAAAATCTAACTGTGACACATTCTCAAGTAACACAGAATTGTTTATAGTTCCCAGCACACAGCATCGTTGCTCCTACCTTCCATACCTTTGCTCCTGTTAATTCCTCTGCCTGGAACCTACCCCTACTCCCGAGACACACACCTGGCTAAACTCAACCTTTCCTTTAAGACTTAGCTCAGAGGTCACTTCCTCCAGGCTGCCTTCTTTACTCTTACCTGACTTTTAGTGATACTACTTTTGTGTTTTACTAATAATACCTTGTTTATCACTATTATGCATAAAATAATACACTAGTTTATATATCTGGATTTCCCACTACACTGCGAGTTCTTTGAGGGGAAGAACCATGCCTTGCTCAACTCTACAACCTCACAGTCATGGTACCTGGCCCATTATAGGAGCTCAGTAAATGTTTGTGGAAAGAATGAGCAGAAAGAGAGAGGACAAAGAATTCCAGATGTAGAGGGCTGCATTACCAAAAGCTCTGGACCCATATGTATTCCTTTCTAATTAAATTTGGTTTGAAATAATGGTAAAATGTGACAGCTCTGGTTGAGTGCTCCAGCCTGGTCATAGAGGAAGACGGCCCAGACTGTACTGAGTGGTGGCTAAAGGGGACTGAATATTGACATGGGCAATTCACAACATGGACTGCCTGTGTTGGGTGGGGGTATTGGGACAGTTATCAACAGGCATGTGGTCTGCACTGGAACAATTTTTATTAGATCAGGGAAAGCTTTTGGGGGAGCTGAGGTTTAACAGGAGGCTGGCAGAAACCATGAGTCACTGAAACACCCCATAGTCTTTCTTTCCTAGCTTCTCGCATTTCAGGGCCAGCATGTTAATCATGGGTGTTGGCTCCAGAGTCCTGATTCCTGGCTGAGTGGCCTCCTCCTCACAGAAGCAAGGCTTGAATACCATTTGTGCCTTGAGGAAGTTATTGGAAAGAGGAAGCAAGAATAGATTGCTGGCAGAGTCAGAGTTGAAAAACAGATGGAGTGGGGAGTGGGAAGGGAGAGTTCGGAGAGCACAGCAGTTCCATTTAACACTGTCATCAGTCATTCTCTAGAAGTCAAATGCCTTCCACAGCACATCAACATTCATCAGAAGGGGCCCTTGAT